AATTGGTGGAAAAATGTTTGGTAGAAGAGGATCACAAGCAGGAAAATGCACCATGCAATGTGGAACGAATTGTTTAGATGTCTATAAAAGAAAATGATGGATGAGAATCATTTGGGTGCTGAGGAACTGAGGTTCCCCCCAGCGTGCATTATTATATTGCCAACACAGCCCATAGTAATTCCTGCTACTGAAATAAAACATGCATGAACAGAGTGGTGGCATGCTAATCTTTGTAGGGAAGCAGTGTTCTGGAAGATCCAGGTTTGGAGATGGATTTGGGAATCTATGCTGCAGATTGTGGCCAACTGTGTTCACAGTGGTTGGTGGGAGAGAGCTGCCTGTGCTGTGCATAGGAGGAACAGCCTACAGTGTACCTGGAGCATTTGTGTCTCAAATCCCCCTTGTGAATTGGAACAGGCTCTACAGGTACATCTAGATGCATATGAATGGAGAAATAGTTATCAGAAAGCAAGAAACTGGAAAGAGGAAAAATACATGCTGAGAGGTAATGTGCAAAAGTGTCTCAAAAAAGTGTCCCAATGTGCAAAAGTGGTAAGCTCCAGAGCCGGGAGATCCTGCTGAATCCACAGAAACTGATGATCCTAGGACATAGTCAGATGAATCTCTACAAGGCCACCAGCACACATGCATCAACAATGGTTTTGTAACCGGGGCACATCCAAGAAGAGGGTGGTGGTTAGATGCTGACAATGATTACAGGATTACATGTGCATCTGCAGAAACAGATGGACTTCCTGAGCATTGATCCTGGCTCATTGAGTATGAGCCTCTGTATCTGAGAAAACCATTCTGGTCAGCTTCTCCTTCCCTTCTTGGTAATGAAGGGTGTTTGCATGTGTGTGAATCATGAAGAATAATTAAATTTACTGTCTGGAGAGTGATCTGCTATTAATAAGTCTACTAAAACAACTTAATAAAATGAATGCTAAACAAATATTGGCTGATCTGTTTCTCCACTAACTTGATCCTGTCTCAGGGAAAAGGCAATTTACAACTCTTAAACTCCAAGGGGAGAAAACTTTTGATACCTGTCTTTGCCCTTACCTGTCACTCCCTGTGGTTCCTTAGACAAATCTTCCTTTTGCAGCCTCATTTACTTGTGTTGCTTCTGTTCTTGTACTTAATGTTCTAGGGGAGTTTCACAGTCCTCTGCCACTTCAAAAAACTATCTTCTATTTTCACTCTGATTCTCTTCAGGTAGCACAAGGTCAATGATTTTGAACGGCTTACACTTTTGCTGTGCTGTGGAAATGAACAGACATTATGAGATAGGAGGTCCCTAGAACTTAAAAAAAAATGTGGTCAGGGTATTTGATCTGGCGCTTTGCAACTGTCATGTTATAAAGTGGATGGAGGTTCATGGCTTATGATGGCCATCCATGGGCAATGTCCTGTGTGTCATATGCTGTGTGACTCCTTTGTTTAGGCCAGGGCTACAAATCACCCCGTGGAAAACTGTATTCTTATCACGACTTGTTTGAAGAAGAAGTTTGAGTTAATGGTTGAACACAGGTTATAGCCTCTTCTGGCAGCTGAGGGTGGTCTCATAGCTGTGAGTGTCTGATGTCCCATATACCCAAGCATACTTCTCCATGACTGATCTGCTGGTGTTTTGTGCATCAGCCGTGCACGGCCACTCCGGTTGTTCCTTTGCACCAGGGCAGAAAAGACTAACACAGGCGGTGGCTGCAGTCGCTGGGAGGGATGGAAACTGGAGTGTGTGTCTAAGAAGGTCATTTCTGCCAGAAGATCAGGTATCTATTATCTCCACAGAACCCCTTGGGTGAGGGATCTACAGGGGGAAGGAACAACCTTCTTCCTCTCCTAAAATCAAATCTGAGGTATTAACTATCTCTCGGGCTCCTGAAATTGAAAGCAAACCAAAACGGTTCAGGAAACTGATGTGTTGGGTTTTTTGTTCATCGGGTTAATTTTCCGGTATAATTTCAGCTGCCATTTCAAGACCTCAGAAATCCTTTGCTTTTAAAGTACAGTAATTCTGCAGTAATGGTGGTCTTCTAGAAGAAAAGCTGAAAGTAGTGATGTATTTAGATGAAAACTGGACAATCCTGAAGTCCAGCTGTGCTTTCAAAAGCCTAAAGACAATTTCTTAGAAATGGTGCTTTGATTTTGCTTCTTTTCTTTGACAAAAGCCTATATGCCCTTTCAGATTTGGGGCTTTTAACTCCATTTAAAACACTTAATTATTATAATAAAGATTACATGGTGGTGACTGATAAGTTTCAGATGGGCTGTGGCCAAATCACAGCTCTTCATCATGCTGTAGCTGTGCTGTGGGCAACCCGTTTCCCAGTGGATATTGCTTAAAAGCTCTGCACTCTGGGATGCTTCCTGCATTTGCTTGAAAGTGAAAGTATGAGTCATTCTGGAAGGCAATTAAGGAACATATGAAATAAATAGCAAAGAATGACTTGCATAAAATCCCAAGCATAATTCCAGATCTACTTGGAAAACTGTATCAAGTTTCCCAGATTTGTATTTTTTTCCAAGTTTCTGGTTATTTGTGGGTATTCAGACTGTGCAATGGAAAGACTGTTATGACTGAAAATCAGTAGCATAGAATTGAGCAGGAGGCAAATGGTTTTCCAACCTCTTTGAAGCAAAGCATGAGGTAAGTGTCTTCTAACTTTTGCTTCATTTTGACGAAGGGGATAATAAGCAGTGGAGTGCTTCCAAATTGCCAGGGAAAGTAAGATTTCCTCTTTCTTGGGCATAATTGGTATCTGTAGTGATAGGAATTATTCTAATTAAAATCACTTCAAAAAGTAGTTTGAGAGATATGATTACTTACTGATAGTTATACTTCTGGGCCTATTGATTCCTGTTGCCTATTTATTTGTAATTAGGGACTGCTGTAGGGCATGCATTAATTTAAACAGTAGTATGTGCACACAACAATCCTGCTGGGAGGTGTAGGGGTGGGAGAAATCAAACCACAAACAAGATGATACCATTACAGTTGTTGCACCTTTTTCTTACTTTCCCCACAGACCTCAGTGCCACAATACCTTACCTTCTGCAGTGATGTATTTCAGTCACTTACCATAAGCAGGTTATTACAACCAAATTATTACTTAGGTAATTACTACTTTTTTACCCTTGCTGTCTGCTCCAACTACTTCATCTTGACATCAACAGTGCTGGAACTGGCGTTTCTGTTGAAGCTGCCTGGTGTCTGCATTTTCTGCAAACTTACCAATGCATTCTGTATCTGACGCTTTTGTTGTCCTTTGTAACTGTTTACATCTCCAGGTCACATAACTGTAAAAATGCCTCTAGGTCTATTGAAATTGAAGTGTTAAAACCTTAACTGAAAGGTAAAGCACATGTTTCTATTACTTACATTTCATGTGCTCCTTCAATGTGACATAGCAATGTCTGGAATTTCTGGCTGACCCTGGGCATGAAACTTTGCTTTAACACTTACAGTAATTCAACTGCACACTTGTGTCTTTTCAAGCAAATCTATGTGACAGCAAGTCCAACTGTTCTTCATTGTTATTCAAGGAAGTTACACAACTGCTGTCCATATTTATGCTTGGTGGGTGGTGGGTTTTGAGGTGTGTTCTCAAGCAGTGAGATCCTCCCCTGGCAGGTTTCTTACAAACCTAAGGGTCAGAGACTGTCCCTGGTGCAGAGAGCTTGCAGCTGAGGACAGAATGTGTGCAAGATGGGTTAAAGCAAGAAAGATGAAAGGTACATGATGTGATAGCAGGCGATGTTGTACTCTTGAGGTTGGGTTTAAGACATCATAAACTACAGAGATGACAGCTTTTGACAAACAGACTGAGAAATAGGGCAGGATGAAAGGAGGTGGTTTGCGGTGCAAAGTACATCAGACTTGGACACTTCATGTGCTAAAATAGCTATTTCCTATTTTCACTTGTGCTTTCAGTTTTGTATTGCTGTCACTTCTGCTTTGCAGACTTTCCCTAGCCAGCCTACCACCGGTATGGCACAGAGAGAGACACCAGATGAGTCAGTCCTTTCCCTTTGAGTGAATTAGCTCCTGGTGTTTCTGGGTCCAGGTAAAACATCAGAAGAGTGGCCTTGGTCTTAGGCAAAGTGCTATGCAAAGCTTCAAACAAAATCCTTGCCAAACCCCAACAAAACCTGTTGTAGCATAAACTGTCCCAGATAACTTTCAGGGCACTGTTGTGTTATCTCTTTATTTCTGCAGACCAAGGGCAGGATGTAGCTTCTATCTGTGTACAGAGTCTGCTTTTAACTGTTACAGCAGCTAGTGTGGACACATTCTGATACCGCTAAGTTTTAGGCGACTAATTACCCAAGTATGCACAGCACATTGTGGGTAGCAGTACTGAGGTGCTCTAAACTTGCAGACCTGGTTCTTCAGGTTGTCTAGTCCAAGTTTTTGACCCGGGAGCACAATGTTTGAGACACAACAGTGGAAGCACACAGCGCAATTGCACAAAGGATATGTTTTGTGCGGGGGTTAACCTAAGGTATGCAGTTTGTGCAGCAGACTGAGTAGGAAGGCACAGGTCTGCGTGCTGTTTTGGTGGCAATGTGGGTGATTTCAGGCAAGTTACTCCTTCCTTAACTTTGCAAAGATGCAACTTTATCAAGCGGCCACGGTGACGGATGCGCGCTCCGGATTTCCTCACACCTGTACCACAAGCTCCACAGCCTGCAGCCCGCTGCCTGTCCCAGGCCGCTCTCCTCACAGGACACCTCTGCTCGTGGAGGAATCCCCTCCCTGACGCGAGGCTGCCCGGGTCGCGTCTAGCTCAGGCCCGACCGCCCCAGTCCGTTGGTCTCGGTGGAGCGGCTCAGCCGCGCCCATAAGGGACCCGGGCGGTGCCTCACGGTCGGGCGCGGGGTGGGGCCCACCCCTCACTCACCAATCAGAGAGCGCGAATGGGGTGGGAGGGGGCGAGCGGCACAAGACCAAGGCGCCAAAGAGCCGTTGCTCTACCGGCCGCAGAAGGACGTTCCCACCTCCCGCTCTCCTCGAGACCAATCACGGCCGCGCCCCGTCCACCGGTCCCGCCCCCCCGGGGAGAAAGAACCAATGGGAGGCTAGACTCCTTCAGCCGCTCAGCCAATCAGCGACGGAGCTCGGGGGAGGAAAAAAAAGCCACCGCAAAAAAACGGCCACAGCGGCCGCCTTCCGGTGCAGCCCCCGGAGGTGAGGGTCGCTCCGGCCGCCGGGCTTTGCTATGGTGCTGGAAGCCGTCGGTCTCGGCGTTCCTCTGAGCTCCGCGGGGCCAGCTGGGCGACCCGCGTCATGACCTGGCCGCTCGGTGTGGGCGTGCCCGTCATCAAGTCCCGACGCCATTTTACGCCAGAGGCCGCGACCAGAGAGACGTCTCAAGATTTAAGGTAGCGGCGGGGAGCGGCTGAGGGGCGGGCGGGACGGCGGGAGGCGGTGGCGGCCGCCGACAGGTACCGCGGCCGGAGGCAAATAACGTGCCCGCCCAGCGGGATGCCGCTGGGCTCCCGGCGTGCACCTCGCCGGCCGGAGCGCGAGGGGAGCTCCCGGCGTGCCCCGCGCCTCCAGCAGGGGGCGCCCCTCCGGGGGGGCTCCCGGCGTGCCCCGCGGAGTCGGCGGGGGTGTTACGGTCGGGGTCCGGGGCGCGTTGCTGGCGGTGGAGGAGCTCCCTGCTCCAGCCTTTCAGTCCCGGCCAAGCCTGGCAGGTGGGGTGTAAGACTGTCAGGGAGCACGGTGGTGTGCCAGCCGCGGGACGGCTGGTGCCCTCCTCCTCCGTTAGTGCGCGGCTGACTGTTATATCCCTGAGGTGGTTGCCCTTGTTTTTAGGTGGTGCCGGTAGTTTGTTGGCCGAGATGAAAGGGGTCTGATAGCCAGGCGGCCTGCAGCATGCAGAGAAACTGAAAAAAATCCCTGTCTGGCAGAGTACTGACAGACATCTTCCGCACATGTTTCAAAATATGTGTAGTATACATCTTCCTGTCTTACTTGTCGGTGTTTGTTAGCAGTCTGCTGTGGATCTCGGCAAGTTTCAGCAGTTCCGCTTTAAAGAGGGAACTTAAGTTGTCACTGATTCAGATTTCAAACTGGTTCCAGCTGTGAACTGTACTGATAACAATGCTAGAGGACAAGGTCAAAGGTCACCAGTGAAGGCAGTGGGAGGCAGTGTCATAATTTTCTTATGCCATTAGCGGTGTTTTATTCATTTCAGCTGATGCTCTTTTTTGATAGCACTGACATTTGAAGGAAGGTGGAAGTTCAGCTCCTCTTCTGTGTTGTTTCTCACCCGAGGAAGTGGAACTAATCTTTAGTTTTGCTGTGGTTGTATAAGAGTCTTGTGGTCTGAAAGACTGTGGTTTTGTGTGTGACTTTCTGTTCTGAGTTGTTTTGTTGTTTTTGTCTTTGGTTGTTTTGGTTTGTTGGTTTTTAATTCTGTGATGCTTTTCAAGATGCTCCATTTCATCAAAGATGTAGCAACATTTAGTAGTTCATTTCTTTGTTGCTTGCCTTTGCTTTCTCTGAGCTGTTTTAGTGTTTCTAGCACAGGTTTTTAAAAGTAGAGGTTTTATCCAAGCAGAGATAATCACTGATATGGGTGTAAATACTAATTACTATTAAAGTATACAAGGATGCTGGAGAAGGACTCTTCATTAGGGACTGTAGCAATAGGACAAGGGGTGATGGGCTCAAACTAAAGTAGGGGAAGTTCAGGTTAGATACAAGAAAGCTCTTTACAGTGAGGGTGGTGAGAAACTGGAATGGGTTGCCTAAGGAAGTTGTGAATGCTCCACCCCTGCAGTGTTCAAGGCTGAATTGGACGGAGCCATGGGTGACATAGTTTAGTGCGATGTGCTCCTACCTATGGCAGGGGGGTTGGAACTAAATGTTCTTCAGGTCCTTTTCAAATCTAACCATTCTATGATTTTATACTCAGGGATTTCTCTCTTTACACAAGTGGAAAAATTTCCTCCCTCCCTCTTTCATGCAGGTTGTGCCCTCAATTTTGAAAGATCTGGAAGGATCCTGCCATCTCCCAGCTAGGTAGCTTTTTCTTTTTTTTCCTCAAGTGAGATCATATTTATGGGTTTTGCCTTTTCTTCTCTGTGTTTTTTAAGTGTCCCTGGTGTCTCACTGAAAATGAGATTTCACAAAAAAACAGTTCACCAGTTTTTAGTGGGGATGAATATCTTTTGCTGAATTTATTTATTTTGCTAAAAAGTGCTAACCAGAGCTATGTAGTGGTTGACAAAGATATATGAAACAACTGTGACTTTCGTGTCAGGTTAAAAAGAGTGAAACCCGGTAATTGTTGTTGCTTCAGCAGTTCTTCATTCTTTTAGGGCTAATAATTTGACCTTTTATTGAAACAAGAGTGGAAATTCTTTCATGAATAGTTTGTGAACAGTTATGGTCCTGTTCACACGAAAATCACAGTTCTGTTTGTACTTTAATATATATGAAGAACAGGTTGGAAAGCCCAGTACTCTCATGTTCCTTCTTGTATTTTATTGCATACTTGCTTGCTTTTTTTCTTTGTCTTTGTTTGATTTTTCTAGTCCACTTCCTTGTCTGAGATTCAGTACAGCACTCGAGAAAATATTTTGCTTTAGCTGGATAGTTCCTATCCCTTGCACTCCCCAGAAGCAGAATTACAAATGCAAAGCAGAAAATGTCAATAGATAAGCACTTTAAAACAAATAATGTAAGACAAATCACTCTTCAGTCAAGTTAAACCTATCCCAGGAAGGGTACAAAAAAAACCCTTTTAGCATCAGTGTCTCCATCCTCTCAGTTACCTTATACAAGGCTTTGTATAATTATGGAAGAAATGTTAATTTTGTTAGAAAGCTCTTGCATTAGAATGCCAGACAACAATGAGGTAGTGGATGTGGGAGGGACATTAGCAGTCCTTCAAAATCGGTGGCTGTGCAAAGAAGGAAGAAGGTAGCTGAAAGCTTTGGTTTTGTTTTTTCTTCAAGAGAAACCAAAAGAAGAAGATTCCTCTTCTTCGGAGAGGAATCTGAGAGGTAACCAAAGGTGAGATTTGGACTGCCAGCAGTGTTTGGTATTGCAGATGGGGCTTTAACCTAGAAGGGAGAAGTACAGTTGCTTAATTAGGAAAATGGAAGAGTTTTGGAAAGATGTGCAATGTAGAAAGCTGTGGCATGGCATGGTTTTGCAGATGTGAGAGCAGTCACAAGTAAGCATCAGAGGAGTGTCCTGAGGAATGCAAGACTGAAAGAGCCTTGCTGTGAGAAGGTGAGGTCAGGGTGTCAGAGGTGGTAATAACAGGGAGACTAATCAGTCAGCAACAGCAGTAATAGCAAATAAACCTGCAATTCAGCCTTTTGATTCTTCTGTTGAACTGAAATTGGAGGATGCTGGTGCTTCGGCATATGGGAAGAACAGGCATCAGATTAAGTTGGGACAGGTTGAAGATAAGTAGTTTTTCTGTTCTCTTTGGTAAGATGAAGGGACACGTGTTCCAATTACAGATGTTTTTTCATTGAGTTACAGTATTCTCAACATCAGTGCTTGCCAGTAGCCTGATTAAAGAAGTATCAATGCATCATGAACAGCTTTTTGTATTTGGGCAGGTGCTAAAAATGCAGTAGCCATGTTAGGAAATGTGAAAGTGAAAGTAACAAGCTTAGGGAAGGATTGAAAATGAAATCCAAGTTTAGTTTGAACAGTTGAAGCAGTGGGTTCTTCTGGTCTGAACTTCAGAAATTATTACCAATTCTGTGAAAGCAGTCACTTAGGGGCGCTTAGAATCTGACATAAGTAAGTTTTGCCTTTGTAATCACCGTTACATAGACAGTAACGATAGATCTTTGTTTTGGAAGGCACAAATATTACAAAAGATGGAAAAAGTTCTTAAATCTGTATTATTCTTGATTTATCATACCTTTAACTGGAAAAGACACTTCCAAAACAGGCTTAAGTATAACCTTGAAGTTTTTAATGAACTTCCTTGCTATGTGGGAGAAGATAAAGTTTAGCAACTTCAGAGTTCATGCTGCATTTTAATGGTAAGATTTCTGAGTAACGTACAATGCCCATTTTTAGAAGTGCATTCTCTCACAGAGAAATGTCTTCATGTTCTCACATCCCACTTACCTCTTGCCGGAGAAAATACTTCTAATTTAAAGCTATTACTTATGTTGTGTATGTATAAAAGTAAGATGGTTGTAGACTGTAGTTTCTGTTGGAAGTCAGAAGGTGCCCTTAATGTGTGTGCTGAGAGGGAGGCTGCTAACATGTACTTTGTTAAGGGGCAGTGCTGGTACACGTTCTTGCTGAGGAGTCTGGTAATGGTGCAGGTAGGGATTTCCATCCGAGCCTGGCACCAGATGTGTGGAAAAAAAACAAAGGCTTTTGGACAACAGGGTATAACTTGCAGGTAGAACTATATGGTTAGACTTGATGGCAACTAATAATGCATTAAAGAGGGTTTGGTCACTGATGGTATTGATAAGGCTGCTTACCACTATTACACCTTGAGAAACAACCAGTAGGAGTTACCAGCTCGAAGTGTTGACAGTGGAGATGGGGAGGCAGTCAAAACCATCACGCAAGTGACTGGTGAGGTTTCCTGTGACATACTGGATATAAATGAGGTCAGTCCCATTTAAGAAAGCTTAATTTAAGCTGGAGGGGTGGTTAAGACTTACTAGGATGATAAAGGAAACGGTTTGAATGAGGAACTGACAGGTTGGCTTCATTAGCCAAGCAGAACAAGCTTAGAAGGTGATGAGGATGCTGATGCTTTCTCTGATCTATCCAGAACAGGAGCTGCTGGCATTAAAATCAAATCTGTAGAAATAAATTGCAGCATTTTAATTTTGTCAGTATTCACTGTATGGGTGTTTAGATTTTGTTCTTTTAAAATGATAGTTTTGTTTTCTCTTTAGAAACCAGACCATTACAGAGTTCTTCAAACCCATTTTAAACCAAGGTAAGTATGTTTTTTTTAAAACAGAGGCTATTATGTGAGGTTTTGTTATCCAAGTGTGCAGAAGTATAGTTTAATCTCATTCCAAATTGGAGCAGCAATGTAAGGAGTATAGCTTGCCAGCCATGTCAATATGTGCACATTGAATTTTTTTCTAATAATTCATTTTAAACCCGTTAATTTCCTAATAAAATGAATTTATTTAATGATGTAATTATTTAATAAGTTACTGTCTCAGGCTTGAGCTAGACTGTTTCTAACAACTGAAGATGTGACATAGATCATGCAGTTCTTTGATACGAAATAAATTGCATGGCACTAGCAAAACTAAATGATTAAGAAAATTAATTTAGAATTGCAGGTTTGAGAGAGATAAAATAGCAAGTAATACAGTCCAATAAGACTTCCTCCCCCCCACCCCAGTATTGCGATTGTGAATAATTTGTCTTGTCTTTTCTCTCTTAGACCTTGTCCATAAAGACAGAACTGTATTGTGCTCACCAGACAGTGGAAATGTAAAAGATGCAGCTTTGTGTGCTGAGCATTTTGAAAAGAAAGTGTCTTCTCCAAAAAAGGTCAGAAGAAAAAAGATGCCAGACCGAACACGAAACACAAGTCCTGTGTTAGATGCCTTTCGGAGGAGAATTAAAGAGAAAAAAGACAGTGCAAATGTTTCAGAGAATGGCAGAGCATGCAAGGCACTGGGTTCGTTGTACCCAAAAGTTGTGATTAAAAAACTCCTTGTTAATCCAGGGTCTCAAACCAGCCATTTCGTGGTGAAAAGGGATAAAACTGTCAAGTCAGATCAGGGAAGAAATGAGAAGTGTCTAGGAGTAACAAGAGCACCATTGTCTTGTGGAAATTGTTGGGAACAGAAAACTGACTGTATGGATCTAGAAGACACAAGTTCAGACTCTGACAAACGAGTTTCATCACCAGAAGCTGATACTCAAGCCTGTGATAGAAACAATGGCACTGTGAACAGCACAGCTCTGCGCCAAACCTCAGGGCTTCCCAGGAAACTGCCCTGCACACCAAATGACTCTGAAGTCACGATGTCACTGGGAGCTCTCTGCATAGAAAGGAAGTCATTCTCAGGAACAAGCGTATCACATCAGGTGTGTTTAAAAGGGTCATTAAAAGTGGAAAACAGTGATTTTTATCCTATCAGGATAGGGTTGCTAGTACTGCCTTTTTCAGCTGTAAAAAAGTTTATGCTCTTTGCTGTTCCTTCTTGATCTTTAGGTCATGCTTGGGTAAGCTGGTTCTTAACTATTTTACAATAAATGAGAAATCCTGGTTTAAAAGCAGGGGAGATACTCTGGATTAGATGTGAGCATGGAAATTGTAACTTTAAAATGTATTTTATAGAAAAAATGTCTTTATCTTAAATGTCTTACAACCTTATGTTTTCTAACAGTGTCATATAGAGAACGCATTTGGGGACCTCGTAGCAGCCTTCCGGTATCTGAAGGGGGCCTACAAGGGTGCTGGAGAGGGACTCTTCATCAGGGACTGTAGTGACAGGACAAGGGGTAATGGATTTAAACTTAAACAGAGGAAGCTCAGGTTAGATATAAGGAATAGGCTGCCAAAAAAGTGGTGAATGCTCCATCCCTGGCAGTGTTCAAGACCAGGTTGGACAGATCCTTGGGCGACATGGTCTAGTGTGAGCTGTCCCTGGCTGTGGCAGGGGGGTTGGAACTAGATGATCCTTTCCAACCCAACCCATTCTGTGATTCTATAATGCAATATGAATGGAGCAGAAAGAAAGATTTAGTTTGTGTTTCATTTTCTCCTTAGCAGCCCTTCCTCTGTATTTGCTTGTCTGTGCTTTCTGTCAGTTTGGTTTTTAAGTTCCTAATGACTTGTTTGAGGAAAGCCACATAGGGTATGTTGCCATATAACCCAGGCTTGCTGATGGCCCTGAATGTGGAGAGAGATAGAACCATAGGCCAATCTGAAGGAAAAGATACACAATTTGGGTTGTGGAGAGTCCTTGTGTTGAGATCTTTGCATTGTGTTTTAAGTTTTGAAATGAAGTATGTTGCCATGTTTCTGGGAGTGTGTGGAACTGCGGCTGTGCTGGATTTAACACTTGGCTCAAGATGTCAACATCCTGGTTTTAAAAAGTACTCAGTTAACTTTTCTATGTTCTCCATCTTTGTTTTTAGGGAAATGGATTTCCTTTAAGAAAAATACTGCATTCTGGTTCAAGGAAGATTGCCTCAGGTAGAAGCAGTGTTGATAATATGGACTTAATGAAACAATCAGGTTCATCACTTAGTGTCTGTGTTTATTGGCATTTTTTCTTGGAGTTATGTTTTTCTGTTTTCTCTCTCTTAAAAAAAAAAATAAAATGCTGTTGTATTGTCAAGATTATTTCCAATACATGGCAAGTCTGAAAAGGTGTTAATTTGGGGTTTTAGTGAAAACAGATTATTTCTAACTTAATTAGAAGTCATGATATTTCTTTGTTTTAAGCCCTTAGTACCTGACTATTTTTACAGTTTCTCTTGTATTTTGGAAAATCCACATTCCCTGTAGTGGTTAACAAATTTCAGCTTAATCCAGGAGGAACATTCTTGTTGAACCAAGCACTAAAATTTAGCTGGTATTCTTGTTGCTTGTTGTGTGTTTTTTTACCATGTAATTTTATTCTACAGTACGTGCAACTGAATAGAAAAAGCTCACATGAATAGAAACTTAGGCTTGGTCAGTAGGAGGATTTTAAAAAGGTGGAGGGGAGCAATGCTGCTCTGCTTCAGTTTCCACCTATGCTGCCACTGGGATTTGGCCAGCGGTGGGAGGAGGTGATCTGGCTGAAAATTGAGTTGGGAAGTTCTAAACCACATCAGCTCTATGAAGTAGCTTGGCGTGAAGTGGCTAAGGGCTGATGCCAGCTTAAGACAGGAAGCAGAAAAACATGATGAAGGTGGTGGGCTCTGGTGCCATGGAATAATAGCCTCAAAACAGATTTCTTTGTATTCTGAACGCTTTTTTTTGTGACTGCTGTTAAAATTATCCCAGAATACTTTTTGTACTGTTCATTCCTTATAAACATAATACATAATTACAGACGTTTTCTTCCAGTCGCATACCTCAACTGGGCTATCGTCTGTTTCCAAAGACTGACTGATTCTAGTATATAAGAAAAGTGTCGTACAGTGGCTACTCAGTTGCTTTAAAATAAAAGGATTTAATTTCATTTACAAGTTAGTTACAATAACATAATAACGTACAATAACGTAACAGTAAAGTATCAACTAAATCTTAACTGTGGTCTGCTGTGTTCAAGCAGAATGGAAGTATTTTTTCTGATAAAAAAAAAAATCAGTCATAGTTGATTTAAAACCAGTTATTTTTTAAGGGTAAGATGTTTTTTTGGAGGTTGTAATTATTTTTTTAAACATGACAACAGTGGTTTACCTTCTTAAAACACTTTTTAGATGACCCATCTCAACCAAAGCCAAAGCGGGTCTACAGACATGAGGCATCTTCTTCAAATGCACTGAGAACATCATCTGAGATGGCTGCTGGTGTGCAGAAGACCCAGTCTGTTCCTTCATGCTGCCTTAGAACTAAGATGTCTTCTGGGCGATCAAAACAAATAGACTTTCCTGGGAAAAGAAAACGTGCTGCCATGAGTGTGGATGCAGACAGTTCAAATCGGTCTGAAGTATCAAGTTTGAATGAACCTGCTTTTAGTAGATCACCTGCAAAATGCAAAAATAGAAAGTCTCACTTTGTTAAAAATATCCTTTTAAAGTCTACTTGTGGTGGTGTTCTGCAGCTGATGGAGGCTGCTGCTCTACCTAGACATGATTCTTCTCTCCCAGAGGAATACCTCAACTCAAGCCATGAAAATGAGAAAAATAACTGCTCCTCTGTTGGTTTGTCATCTTCATATTCTGCACACAATCCTGGTAAGAATAACCACATTTCAGTTGTGGATACCAAAGAGAATCAATTACAGGTGGCTAACTCATGCTTTTTCTTGGAAAAGTCCCCTCCTTTTTCTCAGGAAAAAAGTGCTGTGTTGCCTTCTCTCCATCACTTAACACATACAAAAGGGGTGAAATCTCATCCCCAGAACACTGGCTTATCTCAGGTATTGGATGCTAAGAAAGAGCAAGATGGGAAAATAACAGAAAGATGTGCTTATGGTATTCAATCCAGCAACAGGTTTTCACAAACAAAAGATGAGACTTCCGAAAGTGGTTCTGGTTCAGTGGAAGGATCTGGGAAACTGGCAGTCTCCAAAGGTACTGGTAAAAGTGTTCCCCATTCATTGTCTTTTAAGGAAGGGCCCATGGACAGTGGCTATAAGTCTTCACAACCCTCGAGGGATTTAAAAGTTGAAAGCACCTGTAAGTCCAAGTCCAAGCTGAGTGGAAAATCAAAAAGCAGCTTTGACAGCGAAGATGAAAGTTTGGAATGCAATCTAGATGACGATGATGATGAAGAACTTGTGCCACTGCAAGAAATCCTCTTTTCAAGTTCCAAGCCACAGGCAGGTAACCTGGAAGAATCTTCTGACAGTTTTTCTCCGGTCAATATGAGTCCATTACTGAAGCTTCATGTAAGTGGCTAAAAAAAAACCCAAACAAATCCCCAAGAAAGCATTGCATCAGATTTGTTCTGTTGTATTTTTTAGTGATTTTTTTTTTTTTCTCCTTTATTCATAATGCATGGAAAATTGGAGTTACTTGCCTGTAAAACTGGTTACTCAGCTGAAGGGTCCTATGCTGCACAGTGCAATGTAGTCAAAGAAAGGGAGAGTTCATTACTATGTATGTCCTTGGAATGGCTGAAAGATGGTTTGTGCAGCCAGATTACATTACCTGTATGCCGTCCAGTGGGTTTTAGGACTTCTGTTTTTGCTTTTCCCTCTAAAAAAAAAAAAAAGGCAGGAGGCTACATTTAGAAGTGTGGATTTTTGAGTTGAGATTAACTAGAGGAAATTGATTTAAATATTGAGAGACCTGTGTGCTAGACTCCAGTCCTATATCCTTGACCAGTCGGTGATTGTCAGAGCTCTGTGTGCAAGTTCTTGATCTGCGAGTGTGATGTTTTCTTTGAGGCTGAATTTCATGGGTATTGGAAGTATGTTAGTATTTCAAAAAGCCAAATGACTTCTGCTCACAAGGACCAGTGGTTCACAGCTTACAGGATATTTTGCTGATGAACTGATCTGTGTTTTTAAGACTTAACCTGTTTGTTCAGATAGCACCTTGTCAAATAGTGGGTTTGGAGTTTTACTGTAAAATAATGTTTTAATTAGGAAAGTACTGCAGTAGGACTGTGTGTGGCGTTCCTGACAAAGTTGGTACAGGTGGGAAATGGCTGTGTTTAAATAAAAGATTTAGTACTGAATGTGGCAGGGTTGGGGTTAATTTTGTTTAGAGCAGCTGTATGGTGCTGTGTGTTTTGGACAAAAATGCTGTTGATGAGAAACCAGTGTTCTGACTGCTGTGGAGCAGTATTTGTGCAGCATAGAGGCTTTCCCTTCTTCCCACTCTGCCTCTGCAGTGAGTAGGCTGGAGTGGTCGAAGAGTTAGGAGGGAGCAGAGCCCGGACAGCTGAGGAAAGGGATGTATGTATTCCATGCCACACAGTGTCATGCTCAGCAATAAAAACAAACCAGGAAGAGCTGGTCGGGCACATAGCCATTATTCAGAGCTGGGCATCCTTCTGCTTGTGGGATGTGCTGAGTGATTGCCTTTGTATTATTTTATTTTTCCCTGCTTATACTCTTTTTCTTCACTTATTAAACTTTGTCTTAACCCAGGAGTTTTCTTGCTTTTGCTCTTACTCATTCTCCTGCACCACTGGGTGGGGAAAGGAGCAAGCTGTGTGGTGCTGAGCTACTGGCTGGCGTCAGCCCACCACTATTTTCTAGAGTAGAAAACAAATAGCAGAATATCTGTATAAATACTGCCTTCCTCTCCTGTTTTTAAAATTCTGAAGTGGTTTACTTAAATTTTAAAAATGGAGGGAGATTTAGATTGGGTAGAAGAAAGAAATTCTTTACTGTGAGAGTGGTGAGGCACTGGAACAGGCTGCCTGAGGAAGTTGTGGCTTCCCAAAGAAGTTGTGGCTGCCCCATCCACAGCAGTGTTCAAGGCTAGGTTGGGCAGAGCCTTGAGCAATCTTGTCCAGTGTGAGGTGCCCTTGCCCGTGGCAGAGGGGTTGGAACTAGGTGATCTTAAGGTCCTTTCCAACCTTAACTATTCTACGATTATATTTGTTTACTAGGTACTGTTTCTGTAGGCAGATGTTGAACAGCCATAATTATTTTAACTGGCCTTATAATTCATTAAGCAAGCATGTCATAGATCAGAATTCTGTGGCTACATGCATATTCCACCGTATCAGCCAACATGTCCACATAATTAATGGTTAATACTGATAAACAGATGGAGACTAGATCAGATGTTTGTGAAACATATATGTGAACACAGCAGTTGGCCTATCCTGTTTCTGCATAATTAATGGCCAAGTAAGACAGCACAGTTAAGAACTGTCCCAAAATTTCCATGACCATGGGTTTGGCATATACTAACGTTCTTCCCTTGCCTTGTAAAAAGGGGCACATGTGCACATTGGAATAAAATCTTGATTTCTCAGTTGTTCACCAGTCATTTTAGACGTATTAACCAGATAGAAAGTAAGGTTAGAGGACTTCAGCTTTCCCACAAGATTTCCCACGCAAAGACATGCTGCTTGTTATGTATGAAAGCTATTTTCAAATACCAAAGTACGTGCTGTATTAAGTGGCTTTTTTTTATTAGCAGGTGACACTAGCTTTTGTTGCCTTCGAGTAATAGAAAATCCCCAGTTGAGAGGGAATGCTGTTATTGAATTGTGTTCTCCTAAAATGAATGAGCTCATAGGAAGAAGCTTTGTAACTGGTAAGAGGCTACCAATTTAAGAAGGTGTTGTCAGAATGGTTGTCCAAAGAACCAAATCATGGCCATAGAAGACTTAAAGTCTGTATTGTCTGCTACTGAATAAAACACTGGCTACTGAAAACCATACTAATTTTGTTAGTGGTTAAGACTTTCTTTGTGTGTTGTTTTGTTTTTTAATTCTATTTATTAGCTGCTTGATTTGGGTTTGTTTTAGGATTTAGGAAACTTTGTTTTGTCTGATTTTTGGTGATGATTTAGCCAACGCTGGTGCTTTGCCCTCTAGGGACTTCTGAAAGTAACAAAGGTACTGAATCATTTTTGGAGTTTTTTTGTCTCATGCACAAGAACGGGGATTCTCAGGGTCTTGGTGAATGATAATAAAGCAGTGAGATGAAAGGTGTGAAAAGCTTCTGATGCTGGTATTCCTTGTGAAGGTTAGCTGGAGGTCAGTCACAGGGAGAGAGGCAGGACTTGCTTTTCTGTTCCATTGTGAAACACAGTTTAATCACTGAGAGAGACTTGATAATTGTCAGGGGACCAAGAAACCTAAACTGTTAATTCTGCTGTTTTTAGGACCTCATGAAAAACTTCTTTGAGTTTTTATCTTCAAGTAAGATGTCATTAAAATTGGAGGCTTCTGTTTTGATCATGTTTATTGTCTAACACAGAATGAATTGATACCTTGTGGTACTTTCTAAATTTTTTTATTTCATTTGCAGTTGTCTCGGCCTCCTGTTGTTAGCCAAGTGTCATATGTGAACAGCCTAGAACACCTCTTGAAGGAGAAAGAAGAATCAAAAAGGTTTGTTTCTTAAAGCTGCTTTGAAAAATTTGGGCCAGAGTTGTAGAAGCTCAGAATTACCTTACCTCCCCAAAACTAACGGAGTTTTTGTAGCAGCAGGCTAAGCTTTGCCTGCTAATACCACCAGTATACGTCTGATGGGACCTACAAGTGTGGCTTAACTGTAAAAGCTGGATGACGTGCTCCTTCCAAGCAATAATGAGTGATTTGTTATACATCTGCTTACCCCTCAAAAGCCAGACTAAATTTACTGATGCCTTCATTGTAGGTCACTGAGCCAGCTAGCAGCTGCTGCACAGACATGAAATAGAAGGATTTTATGTAGACTGACTGTACTAATTTCTTCAAAGGCATTTGTAATTTAGTTGTGTTTTCCAAAGGTGTATAGACTCTTGGTATCTTGAGTAGCTACTGTTCACTGAACAGAGCTAATGAGTGTTCCTGCAAGAGATCTTTTGGGTAGAAAGTGTAATGTGCCTAATACCACTAATGGCAGGTGGTGGTGATGGGTATATATGTGTGTGATTAACTGTTTTTATTAAAGAATCTGACCCTATGACTAAGAATCTGAACTATGACTATGGAGTAGCAAATGCTCCTATAACTAATACTATTTAACAAATAAAATACTAGTATGATGCTGAAAAAAAAAAAACACCCCACAACAAGAAACAAACAAAGCCCCAAAATTTAAAAAAAAAACCCCGAGAAGTTTGAAAGTTTTGTGCAATTACAGCAAATTCTGTCAGAAGTTGGTTGAGTGTGTTTGTCTTTGACAAACTAGTGATTAATTGTGCTGTTGGAAATTTGTTAGGGTTTGGGAAACATCTAATTTGTATCTTGGAATAACAAGATGCTTAGCTTTTATACAAATATCTCACATGCTTTTGCCATACCTAATGCGCTACTGGCCCATTAGGGTTCATACTGGGTTCACATTCAGAGCTTCAATTTTGTTGATTTCTGTTGTAAATACGAAATGGTGATGATAAGTTCTGCTGCTGCTGTTATTTCAGGGTAGATGAACTAGAAAAGCGGTTGCAGGAAGACCTACAAGGAGAGGAAGCTGATTCTTCAGATGGAGAAAATGAGGAGAATACCACTGGAGATGAAGATCTCTCAGAAGAACACAGGTCCTTCTAGCTCCTAAACCAATTAAATCTAGTTCTTCACTTTCGTAGCCTTTTTTTCTAATCTCCTTCCATCAGTTCTTGGTATGTTTAATGTGAACCGTTTTTATTGCCTTCTAAGGTTGGGTGGGTTTTCTTGGACAGTGCTGTCTGAACAATTGAGCTTTCACATAAGGCTGATGTGTTCATCATCTGAAAATAACTGTCTCAACTTGCAGATAGCGTCTGGATATTTAAATTCATAAAAGCAATTCTGAATTTTACAGGGCATTTATAAAGAGGTTTTCAGTAGTAACTCATGCCATACCTGACTACCACCCTGGAGAAGATATATTTGATTTATCAACCTCTGGGAAAATCTTCAGTCAACACAACCTGGACTTCAGGAATTTTCATTTCATCCCTCAAAATCCTATAGAAAAGCTACTTTTTAAGTAAGAATATCTTCACTCTGTTGTGTTTACTTGCATGTTTTTTTCAGTGTTAGCAGCTTTTAAGATAAAATATTATCTCTGAAAGCAAATAAGCTCTGTCTTACTAAGTAGGCAAGATTGACTCCCTTTTCCTGGAAGTCTCCTTTCCAGGTTGGCTTTACAGAACAGTGAATTGTTACTTGAAGCTTCCTTCTTTCCTTCTCTGGAATTCTTGAGAAACATCTTAAGTGAGACATAAGAAAAAAAAGGTGTTCTCCCCTCTTCTATATTTCTGCTGTGTTGGGTTGTCATTGATAACCTGATGAGTTTGTGGAAGTGAAATGTTAAATGCACAAAAGCTCAACTGTCGCAAGATGGTGGTAAACTGATTTGTGGCCTACTAATGTTGCATTGTGTCTACTGAAAAACTCGGGTGTTTTCCTTCTGAATGGGCTTAGGACTTCAGGCCTCCTCCTCCACCTAATGAGGGCTGCAGGAGGTCATGGTTTCTGACATCTGTTAGATTTAGTCACTGAGCTAGCTGTGTGTCTGTGCGTATAGAAACAACAGTTCTGTAAGTCATAGGGATTTGAATTCAGTGTTTACAAGGCTGTCAGGCTCCAAATAGATGGACACATTCTTGCGTAATACCACAAGTGCAAATCCTGAAAAAAATCCAGTTATTTTGCTTGGGATTTTATTCCAAACTTGCATCAGTGGAAGAGAGAATTCATTTACTCTTAAAAGATTTTATGTACACATGTATGTGTTACTGTGGGTGTGAAGAGGAGGAGGGTGGCTTCTGATCTCTTGAGAAAACGATGTTTGTGATATACTCCTTTGGCTTCAGGCTTCTCTATTAACATGTTTTGAAGATCACAAAGGTATAAGCTTCAAAAGCATCTTATGACTGGAGGAATGAGAACTAAACAAATCATCCCTTCCAGAAGGCAATTACGATTTAATTGCTTTTCCATTCTGCCCGGTTGGCACATGGATGTCTTCCTAGCCACTTGCTCAGACAGGTCAAGGAGATGGGGGAAATTAGGACACAAATGTTTCAACAGAGCTACCTGTTCTAGTAGATACTGAGAACAGGGGAAACTGAAGGGTGTGTGGGAACCTGGATATCATTAATTCAGCTGCTTACGACATAACCTGACTCTCTAAAGGAGGCTAAAGCTAAAATAATTCAGGAATAAAAGTGATGTATTTTCTGTTCTTCTGACAGCTGGTTTTTTGTACCTCACAGACTTGCACAGTGAGTTTAGGCCGTTTTTGCTTTAGTTTGCCTTCAGACTTTATTTGAAAAGTTATTTTAAAAACTTCAAGCAAAGTCTTTTTTTCTCTTCTAGAAGTACTGGTAAAGGTCATTGGAGTTAAAAATCTCTAAAAATCTTTGTTTGCTGTTGATGATCTGAGGGGTGGGGAAGTGCTGAGTCAACCACTAGCTGATTTTTTTTCTTCTCTTTCCCCACCCCCATCTTTGTCTTACAGTTCCAGTGTAACACAGCAACTTTCTTTAGCTATTAATGGTTTTCTAAGTTCTGCTTACAGTTGTATCTTGTGTCCCATACCAATTCTGAAGTGGCTTTTCCAGGTAAGATTATACTATTTGTGCAGTTATACTCCGTTCAGGTATAATATTCTTCCTGGAAGCAGTAGTAGCAGGAATAATCAGAATAAGTTTGTGAATTTGTTGCATTATATTAACAACTCTTTTATATAAAGAAGTCTTTCTTTCTGGGTTCTGATTTGTTCTCCAGTCTGAAATACTTTGTCAGTAGGGGTAAAACGCTAGGGATGGATTTTTCTCCATGCTTCCAAATGACTGCAAAGCTCCACATCCCAGTCCATCTTCATATGTATTACTGCATTTAAAAAGGGCATAGTACGTGCTAGGTGAGAAGGGACTTCAGGATATAATAGCGTGGGACAAATCATAAGGAAATGTTAATCTTGCGTCCTTACATCCTTAAAAAAAAAAACAAAACAAACCCAGAAGGTACATACTGCAGTATACGGAAATGCAGAAGTACCGTTTCTACGTCTTTTGCCTTCTAAATCATCAGAGATAACTGTATTATCAGGTAATTTTCATGTGGAAAAGGTAGCTCAGGAGAAAGACTGGAGCTGTTGCCAAAGGAAATGTGTCTGTCTGCTTTTTAGATGTCTTTCTAGGTGTCTAAATCCTTAGGCATTTACATTGGTCTGTTACTCGCAAAAATGCCCCTCTCCAATCTCCATTCTATTATTATGTGTTCAAGGCCAGGTTGGACAGAGTCTTGGGTGATGTAGTCTAATGTGAGGCGTCCCTACCCATGGCAGGGCGTTGGAACTAAATGATCTTAAGGTCCTTTCCAACCCAAACCATTCTATGATTATTTACCACATTCCGACTGTGCCTGAAACAAAAAATAAAGCTGGACCACCTGTGAAACTGCAGCCTGGGTCTGACTGGCTTTCTGCTTTTGCCAAAAGGGAAATGCTTTGCTCCTCTGTGTCCTTCCCTCCAGCCAGTGAAAGAGTGCCTTCCACCCGTTCTGTGAGCCCTGGTGTTCCTCTCATGAGGAGGAAGTGTGAGCCAATTCAGCTCACAGAGCAGGAAACTATCCAGCACTTGTGGGAGATGAAGAAGGGTGTTTTGCTGGGCTAGTGAAGTGTTCAGGAAACTTGAGCTGTGCTTCATAGTCATGTTTTCGTAGTTAAGAGTTCTATGAAGAACTGAGAATTCATTGTTTGGGTTTAGTGTTGTATATGTTCAACTTGCTCGTGACTGGAAAAGGTTATAATTCACTCCATTGCCCCCATGTTTGATTGAGGAGTTCAGTTAGATCACAGATGCAGATGAGTTGCAAGGGGACATAGGATACTTTCCATTCTCTTAACTCTCAGTACCACCTTATGAAACAACAGACTCAACCTGCAGTTATGGCATTCCCATACTGCAAATACTCGGTTTTAATGTATTCAGAGCATCTTTGCACTGCAGATTGGGTTTTTGATTTTGGTTGTTGGGGCTTTTTGGGGGGTGGGGGTTTGTTGTTTTGTTGGGGTTTTCTTTCCTCCCTTCTGTTACTGTCTCTTTTTTTACCAAATAGTTGTTTGGTTTGTGGGTGGGTTTTTTTCCTTTTTGTTTTTGGCTTTCTTTTCATTTTATTTAAAAGCAGACTGATGCCATCATGCAGCTTGATGTTTGACATGTAGCATTTTTTTCTCTCCACAGGTGATGTCTGTTCATCCTGACTATTGTGTTTCCACCCAGGTTTTAGACAGATTGATGGAGATAACACTAAAAAATGGTGAGTGCTTGAAGAATTGAAACTGACCACCTGAATGAAGGCATTTCCCTTCTGTTAAGTGTAGAAGGTTTTTGGGGAGGAAGTAAAAGGCTCTGTCTCTGATTCTGGCATGAATTTAGTCTCTTTCTGTATGTTCTGCACAAATGCTAGAAGTTGGTTTTCACTGAGTGTGTGCAAGCTGGTACCACAGGATGTGGTGCTGGCATGTATTTGCAAAGCAGTGCATCTGATACAGCCTTTTAAACTCACTTCTGTTATTTCACAAATAGAGGTGACTTAAAAATGAGCCCAGTCTGCTCAGACGTTTGTTCCCCTTTCCATGTTTTACTTTGGAAAATCCAGACCTTAATTTCATAGCTTAAGGACTACAGGGTGTTTTTCACATAGTCAAACCCAGTATATAGCACTGCATAGTTTACTGCCCAGATAAATGGCAAAAGTGAAAAGAATCATACGCCTGCAAAAAAACCCAAAACATTTTCAAGGATCTGCTTCAGCCCGTGCTGCTGCTCATGTTTCGTGCATTTTGCATTCCTCCATCTGTACTCTTAAATACTTTTCAATACAAGTTCCTTCATATGTTCCTTATGTCTCCATTCAGATCCATGAAAAGTCACCAGTTCATTTAAGCCTGCCAGTTAACATTAGAAAAGTAATGGTCTCTCTTGAAGTGCTTGCTCAGGTCTATCCAAATTGCACCCCATATTTTGAATTTTGCTTGAAAACAGACTGTGAGCGTAGGAGGGAATGTAGCCTGCTTTATTTTGTACTTTACTGGCATTAAGCTTGGTTCTGAATGAACAGTTCAAACTGATGAAATCACATTCAAAGACTTAGGGCAAATTGTTAACTGTGTAATCTTTTAACCTGAGACATTCTATTCCAGTGCTTAACTGAGGAAGCATGTTCTTTGTTGTTGTTTTTACTAAATTAAACGTTGAGATGTGAACCTGCAGTGTCTTGCGTGTTATGTTCCTTTGTATTTGTTGTTTTCTTACAAACTTATCTCTAACACACAGAAATGATCCAATAATTCTGTAATTGTTTGGAAGACACTGCATCTAGTTCTGTTACTTGCTAGTTTAGTGTCCTGTAGAGAATCCTCTGTACAGTTTGCAGATTTTCAGGTACAAGTCATACAGATCAGCCCTTTTTGTCAGTGAGCATTGTTGCTATGAGGTGAGTGAATTCCACCTGTTCAGCACTTCTGTTCTAAAAACCTTGCCTGTTTTCAAACCTTAGTGAGCTCCATTTCCAGTCCCACTATGAAAATACTCAATGTTTCTCCAGCATAAAATACTATGTTAGACTACTCTGGTTTTTTTTCCACTCATCATTCTGAAAATAAGCATGTTGTTTGGTGTACCAACTCATCTGATACGAGAGCTGGTAGAATTGGTGCAGTCTGCTGAGCTTATTTGTTTCCCTGAAGAGGAACTTATGCTAAGAACTAAATTCAAAACTAATCCATTCCATGTCTTTTGCTTGTAGCTTCCATCAGTGATGAACAGTCTAAACCATGGATTCCTTCACTAGCCGATGTGTCAGCTGTTTTTGTCAATATGGGTGTTGCGTTTAGATCTCTCTTTCCATTGCAGCAGCTTCAGCCCAACTTTAACGAGTATGATATTTTGTAAGTGTCTTCCTTTTGATATTTATTGCTTAGATCCTGTGAAAGCAAGCCTTGTGCTTGGAATGTAGAATCAGAAGGTTCTTTTATTTCCCGTCCCTTCCACCAAGCCATACTCTTCTTTAAATTCTCAGCTCAGGTTTTATTAAGAGTAAATAAGCCAGTACTTCAAACAGTGCCTTCTAGGTAAGGATTCAGCAAACCCCACAGCATTGTCCTTTGTCCTGCATCTTCGTAATGGAGGTTTACAAGAATTGTTGCCAAATAGCTGAGCAGAATTACAATTAATTGCTTACAAGCTGGGATAGATGTGTGTGCTCTGTAACTGGGGAGTGGTTTGATTTGAAGGCGTTCTGAAACATGTAGGGGTTGTTTTTTTTCCCTTCAGTTTGATGCAGATAAGCCTTTGTGGACTTTTAAATTGTTGATTTACTGCTCAATTAGTGTCTCTTTTCTTAGAAGTCAGATGCAAGAAACAATGAGTAAACACCAGCCAGGAGGAGAGCTAACCTCTGCCAGTCCAGCCTTTTCCAGTCTACCAGAGAACAATTTAATCAATGTGATTAAGGTGAGAGAACTCCAGTTAGTGTGGAAGGGGTTTGGCTTTCGGGGGGTGGCTTTGCTTTGGTTTTTTAGCAAAACTCCTGATGTCCTAATCTAGGTCTGGGCATGTTTGGTGAGTAGATGCTATCCTGGGGTTTCAGCTTCACATTCAGCAGAGATTACTGAAGGCTTGTTGCAGACTTCAGAGCTTCCTGACTTCCACTGGCTTCACATACAACTGCACAGTTCTGCTACCTCCCTTTTCTAGCTGTGACATCTTTATCAGAGTTCGTTGCTCCCTCATGTAGAAGTGCATTTCTGTGTTCCAGTGAAAATGGGGAGTTGATGTTTGTGCTATGATTTATGCTACCTCATTGTGTTAGTGCAGCTCATGGAGGTATGCAATCAGTCTGTGGCAGCCTAGTGTGAATGAAAGTGGGAGCTCCTGCGGGGCAGGTGGAGCTGTGACTTGCTGTTCTGTGGAAGTGAGCTGTTGGATCCATGCATTAAGTCCTGTGGAACCATAGGCTGAATGAATGCTGGTCATACTTCACAGGCTACTTCTCTGTGATTAAAGGTTGTATGGTAAAAATACTGGCTTTGTAACTGATTTCAGTTCCTTGTGGAAGTATTTGAGGCATCCTAAAATACTTTTTTCTGGAAATTTTTAACTATAAAATCACTTGGTTCAAGAGGAGGCACTTGAAGCATCTCCACTCGAGGCAGAATACACATTTCTCGAGTAATTTTTGTTCTCATTTATGCAGGTGTCCCAGATTGTAAGTAACCCATGTGATAGTACTTGGGTGGGGGAAAATCTCTTGATATATCGTTTTCAGTATTGCATATTTAGTATATGCGGTATACTGCTATGTCAGTCTTTGATTCAGTTAGACAAGAATTACCTGCAGTGGAGAAAAATTGTTCCTACCCCTGTAATATCCAGGGAATATTGACACTGTTCAAAACACAAGCCTCCACAGAGTGCAGTTACTGGGAGATGGGGACATGTTAGTACACAGGTGTTGCAATTTGAGGTATGCTTTAATGTGAGGGTGGAAAACTTAGTAACTTGTCTTCATACTTTAAAATAAACTAAACTGATTTCAGATTTTAATGGTTTTTTTTCCTTCTAAAGTTTCTAGGTTTCTGTACAACAGTAATTCAAGGTGGATATACTGATCAAGAAATAATGCTGCTGCTTCTATTGCTATTTAAAATAAGCTTGGAGAAACAGTTAAAGCATGTTCCTTTGATAGATTTTCAGTGCCTTTTCCTGAAGCTTCTGATAAGAATAGAAGACTGGGATACAAAGGTAACTTCATAAATAATTTTCTTCTACTGGATTTATGAAACTGCAGTTTAATTTTCAAGAAACTTCTGCTTTGAAGTTTTGTTTGTTTTGGGGGTTTTTGTTGGGTTTTGGTTTTGTTTTTTTTTCCATATCAGAAAAATGCTGCTTGAAAATCTAAGCTGAACAAATTGGGAGCTTTGGATTTGTGCAAAGTTTAGGAGGAGGGTGGGTATACCGAGTTGGTTTTGTTGCCTGACATTTGCCTGTCCCCTTCTGCAAGGGGACTGTATTGAACTTGCTGCTATTTTAGCTAAGACAAGATTATGCTTAAAATGGCTCTGAAAGAATGACAAAATGATTGCATTAAGCTAACAAAACGTAATGAAAAGCTGATTTCAACTAACCTTTTTCAAAATGGTATTTAGCAGACTTAACTATAGGTGCAATGCAGAAATAATCTTTATGCACATCATCTCTTGTTAGCTCAATTTCTTTTAATATTCATGCTGCATATGTTTCTAGGGAGTAGATGTGTGCTTCTTTACAAATAAAACAAATGCCCACCATATGCATTCTTCATTGTTCTTTTAAAGATGCCTGAGCTCTGCCTGGCTCTGAGTGAACTCTCCAGTCATCACCATAATCTCCTATGGCTGGTTCAGCTGGTGCCTAGCTGGGTAACACGTGGACGGTAATGACACTGTAACAGCACAAATATGTAATAGTGGTAACAGCTGATCTATCTGTATAAGCTCAAAGTCTGGTAAATGCAATAGGTATTACATGCTGCTTTAAAAAATGTACGTGGGTTTTCTCATATGTTACAGAGGTATATGCAGTCAGTAGTGTGTGTGTGTATATAGCTTTTTGATCACCTCTGCTGTGGAAGTTCTTTTACATTTTATGTGTAGTTTTCTAGGCTGCAAACTTCCTGGTACCCTACAGCAAAGATAGACTTTAACTTCAGGTTCTGACATAGAATCATAGAATAAGGGTTGGAAAGGACCTTAAGATCATCCAACTCCAACCCCCCTGACATGGGCAGGGACACCTCACACTAAACCCGGCCACCCAAGGCTCTGTCCAACCTGGCCTTGAACACTGCCAGGGACTGGAGCATTCACAACTTCCCTGGGCAACCCATTGCAGTGCCTCACCACCCTTACAGTAAAGAACTTCCTCCTTATATCCAATCTAAACTTCCCCTGGTTAAGTTTTAACCCGTTACCCCTTTTCGTGTCACTACAGTCCCTAATGAACAGTCCCTCCCCAGCATCCCTATAGCCCCCCTTCAGATCCATCACCTACTCTAGTTCTCTCCTGAATGACCAAAAGTTAAATTTTTGGGGGGGTGATTCATATCTGCATTTAAGTGTCAATGTGTGACGAGTTCTGTGTCTTTGAAATGAATACATTATAATGTATCTGAGCAAGGAGAATGAATTTGGCCCTCGGTTTTCGGCTTGGATGCAAGCATCTTGTACTGTTTATTTGTGCAGAAGAAAAGCTGCCATGAGATAAGGGTACTTATATTTCACTAGTCTCTTTACTAGTCTAATAGCACTTATATTCAGAAAATCCAATTTAATAGTTGTAGGCAAGTTTATGTCTAGGGAAGCCATCCATAGACTCCTATACTATGTAGAAACAGTTTGGATTAAAGAAATTCTCTGGGAAAGAAAGGTCTTTGAATTGTGTTTCAGGGAATTAAGAAGACGTCTTAGCCTGGTGATAATTTCAAAGCTTCTCAAAAAGGATGTGGAAATACCTGAGGACAGTGACAAACAGGTACTGCATGTATGTGGTGTGTCCCAAGTTGAAAGTTTAGAAAACATGAATATTATTGTTTTACATTTTAACACTGTAAGCCTATTTTCAAGAACCTTGCAAAGTTACCATTACTAATTTTTAGTTTAGTATTAGAAGCATATTTGCATGTGTGTGTAACCTGCATGTTCTGCAGTTTTTTAAGCTCAGTATTGTTCATGTGCCTAAGCATTCATTTTGGATGTTGGAAAGAGGTCTACACTTTCAGTTTTCCTTTTATGCTCATGTAGAGTTGCTCTTTGTTTCTGTAGCATTGATCTTTTATTGAGGCAACATACTGACACTTTTTCTGTGAATAGTCAAAAATTACCCAAAGCATGAAAATTTTCCATTTTAATTAAAAATCCCTTTTATGTCCTGTTCTTGGGGGACACATATATGGTAGTGGCATTCGGTTCCCAAACCAACTGCCAGTAAACCAGTCCAATTTGTTAACATTTGTGTCTGTAGATGTCTCTTCTGCTTCAGTTTCTTGTCTACATGAAACCTTCTAATCTACTAAAGAAGATGAGGGAAAGACTGGAGCAGCAGGATGCTGATGGAGACCAGTGTCATGCAGAACTAGAACAGGAGGTACAGAGCTGGAAGTGGGGTTTTGCATTTGTCTTTTACATATTTTTATATAAATATTTAATTATTATTATATAATTGCATCTTCTATAATTTTGAGAATGCTTCTTTTAATTCCTGTTAAGTGAAGACAGTTCTGTACGTGGAACTGTACACACACTATTTTGTTGCTGCGTTCATCTGCATAATTCAATCTTATATCCTATTTTGGTTATAGTCATGGAGGAAGGAAAGAAGTAGCATGTGACGGAGGAAGCTGTACTAGGCTGTTTAACAAACGGGGAAAGGGTCAGATTTTCTGAATGTCTCAGTCACATGGATGTTTTGAGTTCTGTCTTCTGTAATCAGAGGACTGTCCTTCTTCCCTTCTCATGTAATCGGTGGGAACTGTTTGATGCTGAACCAGACCTTCATCTGCAGACTTCTGAAAGAGTTTTATGAATCTTTTATGAATCTTTTCTCATAAACAGGTATTAGAAAGAATTTCCATCCATACAAAAATTGAATATTGGTTTGGTTCTTTCAGTCTGCCATGGAATCTCTTAGCAAGTATTTAGATCTAGATGTAGATGATGGGAAAATAAAGCCAATGCCTGAATTTAATTTTTGGTAATTAAAACTACAGAAACTGTTGTAGGTTACTTAAGTAACTTAAACCAGTGTAATAGTGGTTAAAAATGTTTCTGATACATGAATGTACTATTTTAAATTAGATAAGCAAATGTGTAGGCATACTTGTCCATTGATATGGCTATTGGAGGAATTACTCCAAAAGCAAAAATTGTGCTGGATCTAGATGTGAAGAGTTATGAATGTGTTTTGACTGCTAAAGCTCTTTTGATTTCTCTCCAGGCATACTACCTAATCTACATCCTCCTTCATCTAGTCAGTGAAGCTAGTATCTTTGATCGTGTAAATTCTAATCAAAGGGTAAGTAACTTAAGTAACTCCTAAAAATCTTTGGGTTTTTATCAGTAGCTGTCATCTGATAGATCACCAGTGGAAGCTAGCACTGGGGGGAAACTTGTTCTGGGGCAAAGTAAATGCGGAAGAGCTTTCTCTGCACTTTTTGCGGAGAAATAAACCTCTTCTGCATTTCTGCAAATGGAGCAACCTCAGAACACAAAGCTATGGATCAGCAGATGATTATTTTGTTAATCTTTCTCAGAAAGTAACCGTAAGTTAACTCAAACAGACATTCTAAGAAGCCAAATGATTCTGTGAACTCTTGCAGTACAGCTGAAATGTTTCAGTATAAAAAGTATCTAAAAGTACTTTGAAAGTATCCAGTCAGATGTGTTCAAACACCCCATGGTTTTCACGTTGGAGTGCAGCCATGCAGCAAGTGAAAACTAGGACTGTATCTCTTCTGTTCTCTGTGGTGATAGTTCCTCTGTGCCATGTGATGCGATGTAAGCATCTGTTAAGTAATACCTTCTGCTTAGACTTACAGTAATCCTGTTCAGATTTCTGTGATCACTTGCTCTAGTTGCTCGCGGCAGGGTGTCTATATACATCCTCTATCATGTGGAATCACTGTTGGCTTTTAAGGAATCTGTCAAATGAACTGTTTGAGAGAGGTAAAGCAGTAATGTTTGGTTAACTTTTGGGGCTTAAGTGTCTCAATTTCCTGCTCAAAGCAAAAAAGATGATCGCAGAGTGTAATCTGAAACAATTTGGTAAAGAATTATATTGTAATGGTGTTTTGAGATTTGGGGTAGGGTTGGTTTCTTTGGGTTTTTTTTTGTTTTGCTTTTTTTTTTTTTTACATTGCCTTCCTGAAGATTGTGGAGAACTTGATCTTTTTTAATATAATTTTTAATGTTTCTGTATTTCTTAATGAAGAAAGAGTCTATTATTCACTGACCTGTTATAACCATCAAGTGGCAAGAGGGGTATGGCTGATTACTGTGCAGGCTGGGCTTTGTGTAAAATCAGTATAACTGTTTCATTCCTGGTCCTCTTCCAGTGAGATGAGGTAAATTGTCATGGTCTTGAGACACCAGCAAATGTTTATATTTAGAGTTTTGGGATGTCTCACCTGCTGTGCAGAGCAGAGCCTATTAGAAGCTCTTCGGTGAGAGATTGAAAACAGGAATCTTATAAAGGAGTTCACAGAATGGGAAAGATCTTGGGAGCCCATTATCAAGAGATTATGAAGTTACAAAACTGCTTTATTAAGTAATGAGGAATTTTGAGATAAATCAGAGGTCAGTGCAAAAACCTTGGCTATGTTTTACCTGCTTAGTTAATTCCTACAAAAGAAAATGACCGGAGTCATTGCTGAAAAGGTTATTTTTTAGCTATTGTAACTTCTGAACTTTTTTTGCTGATAAATGGCACTGCACTTGCTGCCTTGGGAACAGACAGGACTTACAAATTAGCTGGTAGAAACTGTAGCAGGCTACACATCACAAATTTTATACTTCTAAACTCTTTTTTTAAAGCTCTTACATCTGCTGTACCAGGGCCATGCCAGCAACCGACAGAGGATCTTATGGTCTTGTTTTCTTTCTTTCTTTCTTTTCTTCCTTCCTTACTGTATATTTCTGAGGAAAAAATCAACTTGATGCATATTGTTTTTAAATTGCAGTAATGTCTGAAGGAAGCTTTTAGTTTTGACATGGAGGATTTAAAGAGCTGTACACTTTTGTCTTTATTTAGCAACACTTACTGAAGCTTTGTGGTGCCTTAGATAAGCACATAAAATGTGATATTAGGGAAGATGCAAGGCTGTTTTATCGAACTAAGGTAAGACAAGAAAGTTGGAGAGGGGGTGTTTTGGGATGGTTTTTAGTGTTCTTGATGTGTGGTGTTCCCCTATCTCAGCCCTGTTTTCTCTGTCTGCATCCTGTCTTTGCATGTACATAAATATATGCCCAAAATACTCTTTTTGCTAACAACAGGACTATTAACAACTGCAAAACGTTAGCTTGTCATCCTTTTAACCAGGCATCTCAACTTTTAGAACTGCAGAGTTGCCCTGTTTCTTTTCCTGTCAGTCATTGGTAGCTGGCTCCAAAGAGCAGAGGCTACATGCCGAGCAGGATACAGAAGCCTGGAATACTAGCCTATCTTGCCATGTGTCTCTGGTTTATTTTCAAATTAATGAATTAGGTGAAACTGTTGCAGATTTAAGCCAAAGGTGTATGTGATGTAGCATCAAGCTTGGATAATTGACTTTCATTTGCTTTGTGGTGTGGGGTTTACTGATGAAATTGTAATTTTATGACTTTCGTGCTTTGCATGCTGTTGTAGCAGGCCAAATCAGAGCAGTGATAAGTGACCAACCTCAGCTTTGAAAAGCCTTGGCTTCTTCAGCTTTAAATCAGACATTTGCAGTTGTGTGCATCCTTACATTTGCATCCTCAAGATTGTTCTGTTTTATTCAGCCAGATGAGTAGAGCATGGATCCTTTTACCAAGTTAAATGTTCTTGCCTTGATTTTTGTGTCTGGGGTCTCATTCACTTTAGTTTTTATTTCCCTTGCACTGAGAAGGGAAAATCTTTCTCTGTTTTTTTCCTATCACTTCATTTGTGTAATCATACAGTAACTTCTAGAGGACTCCACTGTGCTGGGTTTTAACACAGCATATGAAGCAAATCTCAGTTCTGAATGGCTTGGATTAAACACCTGCTTGTGATTGGTTATGAAAAAGCACAGTTTTACATATAAGGAGTTAATTTTGGAAGCAGGCAGTGCTTGAATTGCTTTTGTGATTGCAGTTGCAGGCACCTTTTCTAGATACAGTCAGACTTGTGTAACAAACTGAACTCACCCGAAGGATGAGGTGGGTGTTTGGAAGCCAGAGGCTTGCATGCTGATTCCAAACACTTAACGTGGGGAGTCATGTGCCTGTAATGTGTTTGTGTGGAGTACATTACTTTGCATTAAGAGTCCCAAATTACAGGGGTCTGGTTGGAATTGAGGTGGTGATACTTTGGGCTGACTATAACATTGTCCCAGTAGACCTTGGGTGTTGGGTTTATCTGGGGTTTGGGGTGAGATGGGGTATGATCTTGGCTTTCTTAGCATAAATGCCTAAAGTAATCTGTCTGAACTTGCAGGTGAAAGACTTGGTTGCCAGGATATATGGCAAATGGCAAGATGTGATACAAACCACTCGGCCTACTCAGGTACTGTAATGAAACTTTCTTCTCTCTTTTCATATTGCAGGGTGCATTTAACTCATGATTTTAGCATTTGAAAACAGCATATTCTTTTAAAGAGTATTTTTTTCTTCGTAAATGGCATGGCTGCGGCATGCAATTAAATGTATTAGAATAGAGTTTAATTAAAATTATTACCTTGTTGGCTTCAGTAAAACCAAGATTTCATCTTTATCCTTAAAAGTGCTGCTTTTGTAAAGGGCTTGTATAATACACTAAAATGTTAGTACTGAGTCAAGTCACAGGGCCTGTGTCTGATTATAGTTATTAGCAGACACTTTGAGAAGGACATTGGGGCATGAACACAATGATGCACTTCCTGCTGTGGTCTGGCAGCGTGTGACTTGGAGCCTACTTGAGTCCAGGGCTCTATCAACATATGTTTAACAGCCCTTGATAACTCCCTCCCCTTCAAATGTGTTGAATTTCATACAGTGACTAGGAAAAGCCTTTTGTGCTCTATGAAAGCACCAGTAGTAATGATGTCCTGATTAGTCTCGCATTAATATTTGCCTTCATGATGCCTAGCTGTCTTTGGTGGAATAGGTGGATAATTTCTGCTGGTACCCAGAGTTCAGAGCTGTTTCTTCCACTCTAGGGTTGTAAGATTTCTTTTCTAATGTGATCAGGCCATCTGATTGAGTCCTGTCTTGGAAAAACATTAACTTTCTAGTAATGTAGTGATACACTTCTATAAAAATGAAATTATACGTATATGCTTAGTATTGATTTCAGTTAAAAATTGTGTCATTGACCATTTGTCTGTAAAAACTATTAGTGACTCCCAGCAATGCGCAATAGAGACATAGTTGTATGTGTGACATTTCTTCTTCTAGAGGGGGAAGGAAATTAGTAACACATGGCTGCAGAAGCAACTTGCAGCTTACTAACTGATGTAAGTTGATAATGATGCAGCTCTTTCAGAGATACGTGGGGTTGATTCACATATGTGAAAACTGGCAAGTGTTTCTGAATAAAATTCTAGGCACTTGCAACACATCATGGTGATCTCTGGCTAAACACTTGCCTACTTTACACTACTATCACTGTTTTTTTGACTTGTTTACTATTTTGTTTTTGCTCTTTAGGGAAAACTGCATGATTTCTGGGAGCCAGATTCATGAAATCTTGCCTAGTTCAGGGAAAAATAACAGAAAAACTCTTAAGGAAGATACAGAATGAATGGAGCTTCACCTTGATCAGAACAGAAGAAATCAGTCACCTGAGTTGGAACATGAGCTTGATACAGGCAAATATTAGAAACACGAGGATCTGATTTGATTAACATTGCTTTTCCTACAAATACACTATTTCTGAAAAATTGAAGTGGGTAAACTGAAAGAAAAAATCAGTTATTTGTTGGGGTTTTTGGTTTTTACAGTTAAAACTCCCCAACAAACCCAACCAGCTCTTTCTGTAGTCCTGTCTGAATTAGCTAGATATATTTTATCCTATTTAGAGCTGAGGAAAGTTTTCTCATTTCTGTTGTTAATCACAAGACATATTGGAAGCTGTATGACTTAGATTTCTTGCCAGCACACACCATCAAACATCCGTGTAGGATAGCTGTGAAAGAATTGCCCCATGACATGGAATGCAAGTTCAGAAACAGTGTTAGGCCTCCCCTGTTGTGATCTGGTAAGGAAGTGGTTCAGAACTGGGCTGGATAAACACCATTGCCTGCACATGTTAATCTGCAAAGCAGAATTGGTATGAGCATCCAGTGTTTCTAAAAAACTACAAAATACAGCAGTTGCATGTGAACAAGTGACTGCTGTTGTATTCACTTGACGGTGGAAGCAGACCTTAAGCATGGTTGTGCCCAAACAGGTTAAGTGGATGCTTCTTTGCTCTGTGGTTGTGTTTTATCAAACAACAAAATGGAATTTGTTATGTTAGTGATACATTAATTTAACTTTCTCATCTTCGGGTATTTATTTATGCAGTGAATGTGACTGCAAGGGAAGTGTTTCTGTAAGACCAAGTTATAGGTGAGATCTTATTACACCAGTAGTATTGTACTACTCTTTATAAAAGAGTATGTTTGTTTCTTACATACAAACATACATATTTGTTATCTGGCTTCAGCACTGTCCTAAATGGAGAACATACTAATCCTACAGTCTCAGCTCGGTGGAGATTTGGGGAGATGAGCATTTGGTCCGCCTATGTGAAAACTGTGCAAGCCACAGGAGGTCTGAATTCCTTTGTGTGAAGTCCTGCTGCACACACAGTGTGGTCACAAAGCTCCAAGAGCTGTTTGTGAAGTAGTCAGGTGGTGATCTCCTTTTGTGCTCTCCATGCAAATGCCATCGCTTAAATCTTACGCTGTGATTAGTCTGTAGGATCTGTGTATGTATGAAGAGAAAGTTAAGGTATTGGGTAGAAGCACCAACTGAGATTCCCTCAAGTGAGATTTTTAACAGTATCAACATGTGCGTTTTATAATACTGTTTCCTTTTTAAGTTTTGTAGATTGCTCTGTCTTGTATCATAAATCCCCTATAACTTTCCAAGATTAGAATGTATAAGGCTAAAAAACTCCCCAAAACACCACCAACCTTCACATTTAAGTATGTATATTACCCATAAAGGAACTGCTATAGAATGGACACATGTCTTGTGGGAAGGTATTTTAGTTGTGAATTCATGCTAAATGTTTTGTCTTTCATTTCAAGTGTTAGTTAGCCTAAGACTGCAGCTTCTCTGTGCCCTTCACAGGATAATCAGCTTAGCTTTGTTCAAACAGAAGTTATGCTCGTGGCATTGTTGGGAGGGAGTGGAGAGGAAGAAAATCCCTTTTTTAAAAATCTCAACATGTTATTTAAGAATTGGAAGAATCTACCTCAAAGGGTATCTTTGTTTGGCAAAAGAACGGCTTTAGGCTAAACAGAATTACTGTTGTATAGGAATAGCAACATCATCCTTTGCTCCTCCGCCTTTGATAGTGTGTCAGCCTTCCCTCTGATAGCAGTTGCTTACCCTGTTTAATATATTGTATGTAATTTTCTTAATGTTTATATTTTTTTTCTCACTAATGTTGTATAAATTGCAGAGTAAGTTTACTTATGTATGTAGTGTGTATATATTTTCTTACCCTGTAAAGTTGAAGTTGCTGTCTTGTATATTTTGGAGAAGAAAAGGGGAGGGGTTTAGATTAACAGCTTTTGTATTGCAGTTCAAAGCACACTGAAACTGCTGAGGTCTTTTTCCAGATAAATTAACCACTTTGATATTTACTTTTATTTAACACAATGACATAAAGAACCAGACATGCTTTTCTAGTTACGTGGCCCTGGATACAATGGGCACGCCTCGGCTCTGTTTCACAAGAAATGGCTGCAGGGCCTATTTTGGTCTTAGGGCGCACGTTGTAATTCTTAAGTTCACAGCTGATTAGCTTACTATAAATGGAGAAAGTCCTGAAATCGTTTTTGGCTCAGCCAGTCCTGTGTTTTCATGCTTAATGCCTGTGTATACA